CTGTTTATCCGATCTGGATGATTCGGATAATCCAGATACGGATAAATGGATGACGGATTATCCGGATTGGAACTCTAGAACTAACCATATGCCTTATATGCCTTTTAATATATTTTAATAGATATCACATTATGATAATTGTATAGAACCTAGCTCACAAAAAATCGGTTCCGTTATTCATTCATGGCTTATTAAAAAATTGTTAAGCACGAGTGAACATATTCCTATTTTAGAGGAACCACTTTGGGCCTTAGCTGAGGGTATAATGGTCCAATTAAGAAAGAGTAAGTGTTAACCACGGATTTCAATGGGATTAATTCTGTTTAATGTATCTATAACCTTTTTTTTTTTTGTTTTAAATAGATTCAAGTGTTTTTCACGGGCTTTCAAGAGTGTTGATAAGCGTTCGAGCAGGACATGTTTATTTACTCCACATGATAGGAGATGAAGTTATAATGTCCTCACATGATAAAAATTTCCTCCAACAGGTAAATAGTTTAATATAGAATTTTAATACAGAATTTTAATCCAAAATTTTAATATAGAATTTTGGGAGTTTATTAAGCTAACTTGGAATTTGTTTTTATTATAATTTAAAAGTTTCCCTTATTCGTGGACGTCGCTATCAAAGTACAAAACGAGCATCCTCACGTGGTGCGTCGTAACCCGTGTCAGGTCTTTGTGGCAGTTGAGCATGCAAAGTTTAAGGGAGAAAATTATGGCTGCACCAGCAGCGCTCCATATAGAGGTCCGAATAATAACAGACGGCAACATTTCTTATCGTTTAATACCCGTATGATCACTACTCCTTCTATAGAAGGGCAGGTATTTTGCCTGTTAGAAAAGATGCTATAAATTATAATATTGAGGATATATTCTTTTATGGATGAATCGTCTTAACGAAATTACCAAAAAATTCTAGTTCCATCCTAAGTCTAATCTTTTTTTTATTATTATTATTATTATTTCATGCGCTAAAGAAAAAGTTTTCACACAAACTTTTGTGTGTTTAGATATCTCTGCTAATTTTTATTATGATTCCGAAAAAATACATAGTGAGATTTTCCTTTTTTTCTTGATTTTTCATTTCATTTGATTTGATCGATAAATTCAATCTTTAAAATCTTTATATCGACGTATGCTATAAAATCCCCCATTCTTACTTTTCTTTTAAGATTATAAGGTGGTGTCGGTAACTTATATGATTCACTAGTATACTAGTATTAAGTTATGTATACATAATAAAGCATAAAGAGAACAAACGTGAAACAAGGAATTATTATTGATTAATTATTAAGAATTGCTAATTTATATCCTGGGTAGTTGGTTATAAGTAGAACTTTCATTTCCGCTTATACACAGTACCCAGGGTATAACTGATTTATATCTTGCGATCTTGATATCGTGACCAAGGTATAATATTTATTTATGCTTTAAAAGTCAATTAACGCTATTGACGCTATTGACACTCTTAGGGTAACCTGGCATAAAATGCTTAAAAATTGAATCCAAAAATGTTATTCATGATAAATGAACTTGTTTTTGAATTACTTAATTGACTTAGGCAAAGTTTAAACAAAAATATTAAACAGAAAATTTTATTAATTCATTTTTCGACTATTTAATTAGTTCGAAAAGAGAATGAAATTTACGATCTGTATGCTGATCATAAAGTTAGCGCGTTCTAATTAGAGTGGGCATGCCTCTGATTTTTCAGATTTAAGGGCATGCCCCAAAATTTTCTATATGATTTTTTTATTATATAAATGTTTTGAAAAAAAAGGCATGCCTCTGGGCATGCACAAGAAGGGGCATGCCCATGGACCCTGTGCCCCTTACCCTAGTTCTAATGAATTATACGATATTTAAATGCTTTTTTATACTAGTATCTTAAACTATCACGTTTAAAGTTGGTACACTAAAATGGAAGCATTATATAATATATATTTTATTTTATTTTTAATTTAATTTATTTTATTTTATTGTATTTTATTTATTAATTGTATTTTTTTTATTTATTTAATATATCGGATATTTATTGACAATATAATTTGTAATTGATATAATCTAGATATAACTTTAAGTACGCGCTCGACATTTATGAATCCAGAATTTGAGGTAATACCAAATTGATATAATTAGTTAACTGGGAATCAGTATCGGTATAATTAAAAACGATTTATACGTATGCAACGTTTCATTGTTTTTTCAACACAAAATAGCATTTTCATAGTAATGACAAAAAAGTCCCTAGCATTAATGCAGCCAAGAGAAGTTGTTTAGATCTTCTAGAACAAAAAAGTTAATAATAATAATAATAATTATAATAATAATAATGTTATTGATTGAATGCAAGATGCAAACTAGATTAATTTTTTTTACAATAAATTTCCAGAATGTGGAGATGTGTACCAACATCGATTGATCACTAGTACATAGAGCATGATAAATTTACATATGAACACATGGTATTGCAGTTTATTATTTCATACAAATTTGAAACATTTCTTCTGTCCTCAAGTTCATGCAATTAACTAATTTTTATCCATACATGACATCACCTGGTTTGCCGTTTACGTTAATTTTCGCACGATATAGAACAAATAATAGAATTGTAAGATTTAATACCTGCGGGAAAACATCCGGTTCTATACCGGCTATGATTTAGTAATAATCTACGCGTTACCTGTATCCATATGAAAAAGTACACGAAAAGGGATCGACGATGCTTAGTAAAAAATTTGAGGATAATCAAAACAAAAAGATAATCCTTTCGATAATCCTTTTCTTTTTGATAAATGTCAAAACAACAACCACTCATACTGTATTAAAAGGTTACGTGACTTTCTATTGTTGGGACTTTGTTTAACCTGAGCCACTTGTTTAACCTGAGCCATCTTTATTAACCCTAACCAAAAAAAACTTGATCCATCCCATATTGGTATAAAGCAATCGCATTCGATACTTCTAGAAAATCTCTAATTTTTTCCGCATCACAATGTGACCTTTGTGTGAATTCCGAGAGAATTTTGACATGTGTTGATATTTTCTTTTCAATAAGGTTAGGAAATGATAATCTCACGAGGAACGCCACGCTCGTTTCAAAGACCTCAGGTGATTTTACATAATGAAATTTAGCCTTTGCTAATCATAATGGATAACAAAACTGTTCATGCACATTATTTGCTATCTTTCACTATGACTTCATGATGATAATGCGTGGATTTGTTATCAAACAAAGACATTGTTGAATAGGAATACCGAGATTTCTAAAATAGGGTTATCTCTCACGATGATTATGAAAACACAAAATTTTGCCGCACATCCTAAGTAGGAAATAAATGTCAGATACTGTAAAATGCAAGAGATGCATTTTATCGCAATCAAACATAGTTAAAATTTTTGGATTAATTCTTTGTTCAGCATATCGAAGATATAAACACAAACAATTCACAAATCTGTCCAAATTAAACTTGCAAGAAAGTATGTCGATTACAAACCCTGCATTTTGGGAACTTCGTACGCTTTGTTTTTTTTCTTTTTTTTTTTTTTGACAGGTTTTTTTTTGTTTATCAATGTAACATACCTTTCTATTATTGTATTATCTAAGACAGTATAATGAAACAAAACTTGAATTACGGTTATCTTTTTTTTTTTATATAATTATGGCTTGATCTTCATGTTGAAGGGCATCTTCGGGCATACATAATGTGATGTAAGCTATACTTGTCTAATCTTATTTTAGGTTTGAATCAAAATCGATTATTTCGCAACCTATTATGTTCATCACGTCGTTATCTTAAAACGTGGCGAACTAAATTGGAAATTTGCTATATCTATAAGTACGATATTTGTCGTCATAAACTGACATTTATATCTGTCGTGATACGTTTCCGTGTAGATAAGTGTGTAGGCAAAAAAAAAACAAAAGATATGAAAAAATGCAGCTTTATCTTGACCATTTAAAACAATACGTGGAACTTACCGAAAAAAATAATTGATAATGATATACTATTCATAATGAACAATACTTAAATGATTAATTAACATAAAAATTCTCCCTTATAATTGGTTTATAATTGATTTATAATTGATTTATAATTGGTTTATAATTGGTTTATAATTGGTTTATAATTGGTTTATAATTGGTTATGGTTTGTTTGTCCTCAAATTCAAAGTAGATCTTTCAAGAACAATTGATTTACTGCATTAAAACACGTTAACTTGAAAAGTTATAAGTGGTTTATCGGCTTAAACAGAATTGACGGGTTTTGCTTATCAAAATTGCACTAATTTTTTTGGTAATGCAGCGCAGATTTGTTATGTATTGGTGCATAGACATGTGAATTTTAGCAATTATCATTTTTTTTTCCTCGACAAAAAGTTATATAAGCATTAAGACGCTATATGATTTCTACGAACTCCCAAGAGCTTCCAATCCACCCCCTTTTACGAAACGTCACGTGATCACATTTAAATATGTCAAGTCTTTCAAAAATACTACTCGACCCTGTCCCCTCGACAATAACACCTAATGAAAATCAAAACAACGAAATCCTAATTTCAGACAAAAAATGCTCTACTACCAAATACAAAAGTGGTCCTCGTCCGTATCAATGCATGACATGCTTTATGGGTTTTAACCGGCTCGAGCATCTCAACAGGTACTTGAGTAAATTAAAAAAAAAAAAGAAAATTTGAAATGAATTGATGAATTGCAATGAAAAAAATATTGTACCTTGATTTTTATGTAATAAATGCTATAAAATTATAGTCTGCAAAATATATCATTCGTGCTATCTGTACCTAAAATCACATGATTCGTTCCAATTTCCCTGGATCATATTTCCACATGTACTTTTTAATTATTTCTTGAAAATTGACAACTTTGTAAAGCTCTGCTTAAACAAAGTTGTGATCAGTATAATCAAATAAATCGTTACACAAACCACACGTCAAAATTTATCTGCAATCTTGTGTAATTACGTAATACAACTTGTCACATGATATATTGATCGACAACTTTTCGTTAATCATACAAAATTTATGAATTTAAAATTAGGCATACAAGAACTCATACGGGCGAGAAACCTCATCACTGTACATTTCCTGGTTGCGACAAGAAATTTTCAAGGTCAGATGAACTCACAAGACATCGCAAAGTTCATGACAATACATCCAGAAGAAGAGATCGCAATAGAAGAATGGTCTCTGTGTCGTTTCGAAATACCACTACATATCTTGTACATGAAGGTAATGATTTAATTCGAAAATCGACTAATCGTTTAGTTGGCAACTAATTCAACTAATTAATCGATTACTTTTTTGCACCAATTTATAACACTACATGAAGGGATGCCCACCACCTCGCGCACGATCAGGTATATTTTTACCGAAACTACTACTCATTCTTCCCCTAATTCTTGGACAAAATCATTCGATTGTCCAATCAATGGGTGCACAAAATCCTTTACACGTTATGGTCATCTTTCGAGGCACATTCAATCTTGTGAATTAAAACGGCTTCGTAAAGAATCTGTCGGCAACAAAAAGATTAATCCGCCAAGTCCACCCGCTTCTTTACGTAGCGGGAGTTCTTCTGATGCCGATATTTCTCCAATATTGAGTCCATTGAGACCACTACACGGACCTCTTAACAATTACAACAATTATAGTAGACCTTCGCCAATAGAACCTAGATCGTCGTGGTCCATCCCGAATGTATCATTGATTCCACAACAAACTTCAAGTCTTCGTGAAATTTTTCATTCACCATTGGAAGCTGCCAATCGTCGTCATTTACCGCCACCAGTTAGCGGGTATCTGACTAATCAATTCGCAAAACCACCTTTCCTTTTTCCCCCTCCCTGATTTTTTTAATTTTCATGCATTATTTCTAAAAAAAAAAAAAAAAAACAAAAAAAAAAACAAAAGATATGAAAAAATGCAGCTTTATCTTGACCATTTAAAACAATACGTGGAACTTACCGAAAAA